TATATATAAATTAGACATTTCATACAGCGCTCTGTCGCTAAGGCCTTATGTGCGTGTAAATGGTGTAAACACTGCTATAGGTTAACGTAGAACTCTAGATTGGCTTGTATGAATGCGAAAGTCGGTACCGTGATTCGAGAGCCTTTAATTTGCGGCCCATATAATATTATACTAGATATAACAAATGAGTGTAAATGGTGGGACTTGTGCTGGATGCTCGCGTTCGGTATCTCAAAGCGTAAAATCGTGCATCACATGCGGTAATAGCTACCACAAGGCTTGCATTCCGACACATTTAAATAAAAAAGATCGAGCTTGTTGCATCCGTGAACTGATCTACGATAGCCGGTGGGAGCGTAAATTACCTTGACGTAATATATCAAACGATTAGCAAAGTTCTCGCACTGTAAATTTCGATAGCATTCGTGGTTTTTCACACTCAGACAGTAACACCGAAATGTTGAATGTGCTAAATGCCCTGACCCTACCGGGTGACCAAACTCAGCCGGATTTAGAGGTGCCAGAGGTTGATGAGCTGTCTAATTCTAGTGCACCCTCAGAGCATGAAAATGAAGGTGAGCACGATTTACCTGAAGGATGAGAAGGGTTCTCCACAGAACAGCAATTTCTGCACCTATATAAGGCAATTAAAAAGGTGGGCCACTCGACTGACAAAAAAGTTAATCAGCTAAGCAGCCAAGTTAGCAATAATGTTAATAAAATTAATCAACTCGAGAAGCAAAATCCGGACTTACATGCTGAACTAGAACGGGTGAAAGACCTACAGCATCACTCAGAGTGTTCCTGCGAGCTTAAAATGACAGGCCTGCCAACATCTTACAAATTATATGCACGTAGTTTCCTAAATAGTATTTCTAAGATGCTGAACATTCAGCAATTATTACCGGATGTGGTTAACTATCGACAGGCGAGCGGTGAACGATTAAATGGCACAACCGGGCAGAGCTTTAATACGCTAATAGTTACCCTGAAATCGACGGTGGTGCGTAATATAGTTCTCCGAACAAAAAAGTCCTTTGGAGATATAAAGCTCAGCTCAAATTACGCCGACTCTCAATGCGATAATGTACTTAGAATGTATGAGAAGCTTACTCCTGTGACTTTCGCGCTATTAATGAAAACCAAGGCGAGGGCCAAGAGCCTTAATTACTTCTACGCTTAGTCGAGGGGTGGCAGTGTGTACATTCAGCGCTCTAGGGACACACCGCGCATATGCATTAACACAGAGCACGACTTGAACTCTCTCCAATGACTCGCATGTAAATGAGCGATTGTTCCTGTCTCGCCCGCCTGCAGTTCAATTCGGGTTTCACAATTGAATTTAAGCTCATTACGTGAGCATTTAAACGATGTACAAGTTTTCATAAAAGAGCAATCAATTGATATTTTATGTGTATTCGAAACTTGGTTAACACCGCAACACTGTTCCTCGCTCTTTGCAATTCCGGGCTATATTCTTCTTAGAAATGACCGTGGACTGTTGTCGGGTAGGGGCAGGCGTATGTTCGTGCAAGGTGGAGGAGTAGCTGTGTATCTGCGCTCTGACTTTAGCTTCCACGTCCTGGCTGCGTCGAAAATCAGTAATATAAATTCTACAGAATATTGACTTCTTGATGTACGTTTGGGAGGAGGGGAGCGGCTACTACTGGCCTCAGTTTATCGTCAGCCGAAGGGTGAAATCCTAACTGACATTTTTAGATTAATACAGGAGGAAGCACGTGGATTTGCAAATATTATACTGGCAGGTGACTTGATTTCAGATCTCCTTTCATGCAGTTATTACTCAGAATATTTAAAGAGTTTAATATCTGAGTACTCCATGTACTTGGCGCCGACAGGAGCAAATCACCACTGCGATCCCGCCCATACCTGGCTCGATGTGATTTTGGTCAATTCGAAAAATAGAGTGGCTCGTGTGGCTTCCTTTCCCTCACCCTACATAAATGGTCATGATTATATTTTTATCGATTACGCGATTAGTATTCCCAGGGAGCTTCCACAACGTAGGATGCGTGACTTTAGCAAACTCGACTCAAAAGCTTTCACTGCGAGTGTTGCAACAGCCCTTGGCTCTCAAAACTTAGATACTGGGGACATCAATGAGATCCTTACGGCTTCAACGGGTGCCATTAGAGCAGCCTTGAATGTGCATGCGCCTATCACAACACGGCTGTTGCGGCGGAAGCCAGCGCCCTGGTTTAATGCCGAGTTACAGGCCAAATGCCATGAGCGGGACCGGGTGTATACGCTTGCGCGGAGAACGGGCTGTTTGTATATGTTGTCGCGTTACAGGGATCTGAGGTGAGTCATCAGGAGTGAGATCAGACTATCAAAAGAGGTATACTCGTTGCGGCTCGCTCACAGACCCTCGGAGACTTGGAGTATTCTTCGTCAGTATGGAATGGTTGGTTGCGATAGGTCTGCGCCCGTTAGTGCTGATAAGCTTGATCACGTAGCAAGGCATTTCTCGCAGATGTCCAGTGTACACGGGGCTTGTACAGATGTAGATCTGGAAAGCATGATAACGGAGTTGCCTGCCTGTGCCCAGCGTTTTACTTTGTACCCGTGTACAGAAAGTGAAGTAAGTGAGGCCTTTGTTGCTTGTCTGGAGAGCTCGCAGGGCCGCAGTCTGGATGGGCTTGCACTTGTCTATTTTAAATCTATGCCTAGCGTTATTTTACCGTCTTTAACTAAACTTTTTAATTTGTCCCTCGCGAGTGGTATCCAGCTGACCGATTGGAAACAGTCACTTATTATTCCTCTGCCCAAGGTGGTGAACCCCCAGGTGCCGGGCGACTTCCGGCCGGTCGCTAACATCATTCACTTCGCTAAGGTGTTCGATAAGGTGATAGAAAAAAGAATTGCTGATTATTTAGAAAGCAACAGTTCGCTCTCACCCTTACAGTCCGGATTTAGAAGACATAGAGGGACGCAGTCGACGCTGCTCAAGCTAATGGAGGATGTCCGAGGGGGGATGGAGGCAGGAAGGGTAACCATACTTGTTCTTTTCGACTTCCGCAGGGCATTTGATTCCATCAATCACACGGTACTTTAACGAAAGATGAGCTGCTTGGGCTTTGCCAGGAGCACTTTGCGGTGGTTCCATAGTTATCTTACGGCTCGTTCTCAGGCTATGAGTGGGCCTAACGATGGGCAGTCTGCTTTTCTTTCTGTGACCTCGGGTGTACCGCAGGGCTCGTTCACTGGACCAGTGCTTTTTTAATGTTTATTGATGGGATACTTTCTGTGTTGCGCAGTAACTTGCAGTTTTACCTGTCGTGTAAGCCATCGGAATTGGCAGTTGCCATCGGGCGCTTTGATGGGGACGTCGGAAGAGTCGTTCAGTGGGCGGAAGCTTGCAGGCTTGAGTTTAGTTACGGCAAACTGTACGCGATTCTGATGGGCACTTGCCAGAGCCTTATGCGCTTGGATAAAACAGCTCTTCCTCCACTTGATGCAGGGGATCGGGTAATACCATTTGTCGATAGGGTTAAGACGCTCGGTGTCCTGCTCGCTGAGGATCTAAGTTGGAACGTGCATGTAGTAGCCTCATATTCGCGAGTACACTGGGCGATGCATCAACTGCGTTACCGAACGAGGCTCTTGTCGTCCTTTTTTAAGGTGATGCTCGCGTCTGCCCTTGTTATTCCTCATATGGACTACGCATGCCTAGTTTACGGATCGTTATCGGGGTACCTGTCAGTCAAACTTGATAGGCTCTGCAACATGGTTATGAGATTAATATTCAACCTTAGACGCGATACATCGCTTGGGCAATATTACGAGAAACTTGGCTGGTTGTGACCTAGTGTAAGGAGCGAATACTTCCTAGGTGTCACAACACAAAATTTTTACTACGCATAAGCAAGAGTACCTATATGATCTTTTTCCGTCTGCAAACCAGGACTTGCGTAGATCCGAGCATTTTCCACACTCTGATTTTCATATGCCACGTGCCTCTTTGAACGTAAATGTACTATCCTTCTCTCAGCGAGCAATGAGACTATGGGGCAAAATTCCAGTATCCATCAGAATGAGGGACTTTCTCAACGCATTTAAAGCGGATTACCGTAAAAATTTGCTAATAAAGTCAAGAGAGAGTTAAGTTAATAAGTAGCAAATGAGCGTGTATGGAGACTGATTGTTACCATATAAATTTGTACTTTTATTCGAGCTATTTTTACTATGATTGTACCTACTGCTTAATACTATTGTGCTATTAATGGTATTTGCGAAAGAAAAGTTATTTCGAATGCGTTTATGATGTAATAATTTGTGACATCTTATGTATAAACTGTTATTGTATCTCTTTTTTTTTTTTTTTGTAAATCAATGTAATTTATGCTTCAGACATACGAGTGTTACTACCTTTGGCTTCAATAAACCACTGTTAAAATAAAAAATCTCCCTCTCTCTCTCTCTCTCTCTCTCTCTCTCCTCATCTCCTGGTCAAACGTCCACGAGTCCAACCCAGTACAATGTCATCCAGGATTCACGAGCAGGTCGTTCATCCTACGGCTTCTCTCTTTCTGTTTACTCCCTATTACCCACTTCTTCTGGTAGGAGCTGCTTCCGTAATCCTCTACCTGGAGACCTCATCGTCCTGAGAGAACAGCCAGTGGCGTAGCCAGGATTTTGGTAAAGTAGGGGTCACAGATATATATACACACACACGCACACACGCACACACACACACACACATATATATATATCTTCGTATATTATATAGTTAACTCAGTGGGGCATTCCAGACAAACCCCCCAACGCCCCCATTAGCACGGTCAAATTAT